TAGGTCTAACTCCAAAGTTGGTGTTCTTCATTAATATTCTGTATCTGTTCAGGACATGTACAAATCAAATCATGGACATTTGATTTTAGATATACCGAATGTTGATTTTGGCAGGTTGTAGAGGGAGTAGAGGCTGAGGAGAGGGGATGGCGGACAAATATTAGGTCTGGAACTTATTTTGGTTCATGCCTCCAGTTCCTAATCCCCTAGATAGGCTGGATAACTTTATGAGGGTCAGTGTAGCCAAGCCAAATTGAATCAATTTAAACACATTCAGAAGCAGAACTGCTTCAGATAATCTAACCAGTTAACAGGACATTCAGCTTATTACATGCTCTGCCGGAATTTCACGAGATCCTTCTTTTGTTAAAGAATATTGAGAGTGACTTCCTCAAACTTTATGCTAAGGCTTGATCTAAATTTCACATGTAGTCAATACTTTTCTTGCTACCACTTATGTCAGATCTCCTCATGAAAGTCATGTAATTATTTGGAATCTTATCCTGGTGATTAACACAATTAATGCCCAACTCTCTTTTGAAACCTTTAATGCATGTCGTTTTCCAACTTGGCAGACGTGAAATTCCTGTAGTTTACTGAAGCTGCAAGTTTGGGACTTTGGCAGTCTCATATTAGTAGTCACATATTCTACTAAGGGCCTTCCTTCTACTTGATGCCCTGAGTGGATGTCACTTGCACAGCAAACATCATATGCTCAGTGAGATCATTAAGTTATAACTGCTTTAATCAGCAATATAGTGTCCGCTATTGTATACTTCTGCTGAATTCTAACTCTGTGAATTTTCCTTTTTACAGTTACATGTTGCATTTGAAAATCCAGATGATCTTGACTAGTCAGACTGAAATGAATTAAAGACTGAGCATAACCTATTAGAAGTTATGCACTTATTAATAAAAAGACAAATCTGTGTTTTCCCCCTTCTTTAAAAATCAAGCACCAAAACAATAAGTTAGTTTTAGAATGCATTGATATGGTATTCAACTGCATTGTGGAAGGAAGAAGTAAATTAGAAAGAAAGTGATAGTTATATGTGCTTAGAAATCGGCTGCTTTCAACCAAGGGAAAAAGGAACACTTACACAAAGGCCAACGCTTTTTTTTTTTTTTTTAATTGCAAAAAATATTTAAAAGATAGTTAAAAGACTTTCAAGTCTTTTAAGAAATGACAGTTAAAAGAGAATTTTGCAGCCTTTCCCTTTATCATAAACTATAACAGGAGGAGAAATCCACAATTTTCTGAAATTTTGTCCCATTTAGGCTTCCAAAATGTTTCTTATTTTTAAACCTGAAAAACATTAAAACACCTTTATCCTGAGAAGTTTGTGTCATGTTCATATCTGCTCTGATCCTCCCACAATCCACTATTTGATTATTAAAGGTAATTGGCACTTAGCATCAAATATTTAATACACTGATATATAAGTATCTAATTTTCTTACTATCAGGCAGGAATTTAGACTTCTTATAAAGTTTTTATGCTTATCTGATTGCTGCTGCTTATAATTAAGGCCTCAATAATCATAAAAACATTCCAATAAATGTTTCAGATATAAAAGAAATTTAAGCAATATTTTTAAAAAATAGGGTGAAAAAATGACAATAGGCATGTCTTTCTCCCTCTCTGAACATATCCCCTTAAAAAACTCTCCTGAAAAAAGTTTCTCATTAGAAATAATTATGAATATACTGTCTGTGCTTCACAAAAGAGTTGTAAATATAAAAAAAGGAAGTCAGATAAAATATATACACTAAAAAGACAGAAAAGACATATAAATAATATAGTCTGTTCTTTTGGAATCCTAGTTTTGAAGTGCTTTACAAATTACCATATTCTTATAGTATTTTGTGAGTTAAGTAGATAGTTAATATTCTTGGTATTTGGCAACTCAGATCATAAAGAGGTAAAATACACTAAATTGTCCACATCCCTTGAGCCTACACCTGAGGCAGTAAGAGAACCCATGTCACAGGACCCAGCTTTAGTACTTTGTCCACGCTCTTTTCCTCTGTCCATGGTGCTCTGCCTAGGGGATGTAGATAGCCATCCCACCCTATAGGGGTTAACTGGGCCAACTGAGAAGGGCCATGACAAAGAATAGCTTAGGCATCACTCGACATCAGGCATAGAAAGAGAACAACTAATGGGTAAGAAGAGTCAAGTGATATTGATCGGTGGCTCCCCAGGGTTGAATTCAGAACATGTTCTGCTGTCTCTTGGGTGCCAAGTTTTGACGGAAAGGGCAAAGGACAACTTGAACAATGTGGGGTGGGCGGGTGAAATCTCCATTCATTGTTGTTCACATGGGAATGGAGTGCTCGGAATGAGGGAGATCTTGACAAGGCTCCCTGCCAGTAGCGGCCTCTTGTTTCTTATCAAAAACTGAATACTCAGTCCTCCTTTCTCTTCACCGCTGGGGTTGGAAAGTATTGGGAGAGCATATCGGTACCAGAGGGCAGAGATACTGTGTGAAGAGGACCTTTGTGCTTAATGGGAAAAAAAAAAAGTAGGAGAATGAAAAGAGGAGATTCCAAAGGAAAGAACAAGACTTAGAAGTTGGAAAACGGAAAACAGACTAAATGAAAAAGAATATGCAAGAAAGTGGCCCTGGGTCTAGAAAACACCAATTTTTTTCTTTTGCCAGAGGGTGGAAGGTCCAATGTAAAGGAAACACACACACACACACACACACACACACACTCTTCAAGAAGCTCATGTAAGGAAAGAATAGGCACAACTTATATATACATTAGTAGGGCGTGGGTCAAATACATTATGGTACATCCATACAATAGAATACCATATAGGCTTTTAAAATGATTTAAGTATACAAATATTGGCACAGACATCTAAGATTGATTTACTGAAAAAATAAAATGGCAGAATAATTTTTAAGATATAATTTTATTCTAAAAATAATAATACAGGTATAGAATATGTATAGAATAATATGTATAGAAAATAATATGGAGGGTAAAGCATCAAGCAGCCAAACGTTGTTATTTCTGGGGGGAGAAAGGGAGAAGGAGGATAAATTATTGTGGAAGGTGATTATGTTTTATATTGCACATTTTTGTGTTTATTTGAAACTTTCTTCTTTTAGACGGAGTCTTGTTCTGTTGCCCAGGCTGGAGTGCAGTGGTGTGATCTCGGCTCAGTGCAACCTCTGCCTCCTGGGTTCAAGCGATTCTCCTGCTTCAGTCTCCCAAGTAGCTAGGACTACAGGCACGCCACCATGCCCAGCTAATTTTTGTATTTTTAGTAGAGACGGGGCTTCACTATGTTGGCCAGGCTGGTCTTGAACTCCTGACCTCATGATCTGCCTGCCTCGGCCTCCCAAAGTGCTGGGATTACAGACGTGAGCCACTGCTCCTGGCCTATTTGAAACTTTTAAAAATAAAAATTATATCATTTCCATTGTGTATTCAAAATACATCAATAAGAAGTACAGAAATAAGTTATATTGCAAAGAAGAAACATAATACATAGGTTAAAAAAAGAAAAATTTTATAATTTGCAGTAAAACTTAACATTGAAGTAATCTAACACAGATGTCTGTATCTATGAAATGGTGATCCCAAAGTAAGAGTTTCAATTTCATTTAAAGAATGTTTGTCTTAAATTGACATGAGTGGTGAATTTTTAAAAGGTGATAATTATAGAAGTGTATTATACTTTATTAGCTCAAAACCGGATATTAGATATAATCCATAACTTACCTATTGATGTAATTGATATTTTTCAATAATTGAGTATTCTGATCAATTTGAATTATTCTCTTCAGCTGTTCTATTTGGGTAAATCTCATAAAGTAACTCTAATTGCTTTAATTTAAAGATAGTCCTTTCAACAAGAGACTCACAAAACACTAAGAGGAAAGGGAAAGCCATAAAATTTTACAAATATATATTGAAATACATGAACAGCATATTTTAAATCAAGTCTTTAGAAAACAGCGGAATTTGGAAGCCGTCTAACTGGACTGCAATAGTCAACCTGCATAGATGGGCCCAACTGCTGTAACTTTTGAAGTAAGTAGACTAGGTTACATGTGAAACATACAGTAATGACAGTTTCTCCTGGGATTTTGGATATTCTTCCACTTATCATTTAGGAAAAACTCTTACATGAAATCAGACCAAGAAGCTATCCAGGGCATTGTAAAATCTCAGCCGCAGCCAGACCAAAAAGAAAAAGAAAAAAAAGTGTAGGCCGAGCACGGTGGCCCACGCCTGTAATCCCAGCACTTTGGCAGGCCAAAGTGGGCGGATCACCTGAGGTCGGGAGTTCGAGACCAGCCTGACCAACATGGTGAACCCCTGTCTCTACTAAAAATGCAAAATTAGCCGGGCGTGGTGGTGCATGCCTGTAATCCCAGCTACTCAGAAGGCTGAGGCAGGAGAATTGCTTGCACCCGGGAGGCGGAGGTTTCGGTGATCAGAGATCACACCACTGCACTCCAGCCTGGACAACGAGAGCGAAACTCCATCTCAAAAATAAAAAAAAGTGTAAATCTTTTGTTGTGTACAAAATCACACAGAAGCTATGTTCCCGTTTGTTTGCATATGGCAGTCAGGTAGATAGAATTCTATTTAATAGGATGTCATAAACAGTCCACTCACATAGAGCTGGGGCCCTGTCCCAAATTAATGTAAGCATAAGAAGAATTTCCTAAGCTGGAAAAACTTACAAGTATTTATGATTTTGGAAACTTTTGAAGGCTTGTCTTACACATTTCAGGCTTAAGTAAAACTTCAGAGTCATTTCTCCCCATAGTATTGTAAAATTAGAGGCCAGGCAGAAAAGAATTAAAAGGGTAGGATGAGGAAAGTCAGTAGGGGCCGAGCTGGGGGTTTGTTAACACCTAGAACAGTGTGAAGAGGTGACAGGAAACGGTCCCCTTCGGACATCTGGACCAAGGTGAGGCACTGGGGAAACCCAACGGGAGACACTGCTCTCAGATGGGAAGAGTTGCTGGCTGTAAACAACTCAGGCTGTCTTGTCTTGGGAGAACAGTTAAGGAATGGACACCATGAGGGCAACGAACTTCTGAGATAACTAAACGCACCTCTACTTGGCCACTCAGCTCCTCACCAGGCCCCAGGGGCCCACCCTTCCCGAGTTGCCTTCCCAGCATGCCCCGCGCTTTTCCCGGCGTGCCCTGCGGCCGCTCCCCAAGCTGGTCTCCCGGAGGACTCCGGGCGCCCCTCCGCCATCCGCAGCTCCCTGCAGACTTGCAGGCTCAGACAGGAGCTGTCCACCGCCTGCATCAGGAAAAGGGCTTGCGTGCGTGCGGTAACCACCTTCTTCAACGTGAGATTCCCCCAGGTCCCGTAAATGCTTGGGAAATTTCCCTAACCCCCTCCCATTCCATGTGACCTTCAAAATCCTGAAAAACCTATGGTCCCAAGGCTTACCCACCTGGGAACAAGTCTCGTTTCCAAAAGTCAATCAACCTCAGGTTAAGCAATCTAGGGAGAACACCTGCTCAGGATCAAAACGTTTCCTCTTCATTCCTTTGCAGAAATCTTCAGCTTTAGCCTATCTTGAGCTATTATTCATTGTCTAATTGCTTTGTTCCCTAGTAACTCAAATGAAATAAAATTCTGCAGAAACCGAGTTTCACTGTGTCTGGAGGAACAAGGAATGCAAAGGTAGTGTGAGGAAACGAACCATTCACCTTTTTCAGTCCTAGCATAGAAGTAAATACAAACTTTACCCAATTGTATTGTTGATACTATGAATGTGTGACATTAAGAATTTAGAATTTATAGAGTAATCTATGTGTTCATTAACGAGCTTGAATCTAGAAATAATCTTGTTGGTTGGTAGCCTAATTGTGATTATCCTGTGCATTTTAAAAATGAAGAAACAATCTCTGAGAGCTTATGAGACTTTCTAAAGCCTCACATCTAGTAAGTAGCAGAACTAAGGACTCAAACCCGGGTTTTCTCACTTTATTACCCATGTTAAGAAATTCTTTTTAAAAAAGTCATTGAAGTTATTATTCAAAGCCCTTCACTTATGTTTATTTTGATTAATATAAATGACTGTTCTATGACGACAAATATCCTTTTCTTTGAGGATAGTCTGATAAAAAAAAACCCACAACACATCCATATATAGAGAGATAGACACTGTAGATACAGAGATATTATCTATACAGAGAGAGAGAAAGAGAGAGAGATACAATATAAGTGTACAATATAGGAAAGGCAGTTGTAGGGAAAGAAAGATAGAGAAAGAGAAAAAGAGAAAGGGAGATCACAAGGTGATATGGCTCAAAAGAGAGACCTCTCAGTTGGGAGGTCCTCTGGGGATTTGGGATGACGCTGGGCCACTTGTGGTTCATAATACCAGGATCACACGAATAATTCTCATATCTCAGGCTCAGCCCCACCTGGCCCTTCTAGAGCCTTTCAAGCCCATGGATCTCCTAGGGTAATTTCAGCCTGACTTTGGAGTACAAGGTGGAGAAAAGACAAGACATATTACTCAGGATGGGTAATGAGTGTGTCATATACCAAGAGATCTGGCATATATGATCAGGATTAATGGTTTTTATCATCACCCTGGGTTTGATCAAATTTTCTTTTATGTGCTTTTAATGTCTAATGTTAGAAAAGTAAATTCCTGGAAAATTAGTTAAAGGCTGGATTATTTCTCCATTTTGAAGTATAGGCTAAGGATACTTTTACCAGAGTTTGAGAACTTATTTTATAATAATACCCAGATATTTTCTGAGGGAATATGATATTAAAGATTTTGACAGTAATGAAGGGAACAGAGGTGATGAAAAATACTGTTTTTCCTGCACTATATATCCTGGTCTGTATTTTAAAGATAAAGTAATCTATTGGAAAAGATGTTGATGTAAGAAATTAAAGTCTTTAAAAACAAGCTCTAAACATTGTACTTTTTAAAAAGAGGATAAGAATATCATCCTGAAATACTTTTTGAATATTACATGTGATTTCATTGCATACTAAAATAATTTAAGTATCCAATTAAACACAGATTTGTGAGGAAAATAGATGGTTCTGTTTAGGGATTTGGTTGAAGAATTAATGCTAAAATGCAATGAAACAAACCCAGATTTATAACAGTAGACATACTATTATTTCTAAAACACATAATTAGAAAAGCATATTTAGCCAATATAGATTTTTTTTTGTTTTTGAAGAATACATCATTTAGTAAAAATTACAAAGTCCTGAACAAAGAGGTCTAAAGTCATTAATACATAAACACTTCGATTGTAAGCCTTCCCATTGTAGTTACCTGTAGGAGTAAATAAAGGAGCTTTATTAAATGTAAGGCCCCATCTTTTCTACCTAAGTCTTTTAGACTTTTAGCTTCCTTGGAAATTTCACCCACTAAAATCAAAATGTGCTTGCTAAATCAGTATTAAGATAGTAAGAATCCAACTGTGGGTTTTTTCTAGATTATTTATTTTTAATTTCTTCTTGGATTCTATATACAAATACTATGCTTTGATATTTTGAAACTTAAATAACAGAAAAGGAGAATTTCTATAATGGGTTTCCTACCTATTTTATGTCTATGAAAGCCACTTTGCTTGCTTATTTGCTATATACAGACAGAAAAATGTATGGAACTAATTTTAAAAACCCAATATATTTTCTGTTATGGAATTTAAAATAAGCCTGACAGTAACTTATTTTCTTGTCCTTGGGGAGAAATATCAGAAGCTAGTTTCCTCTCTGAGGGCAGATCACATTTACTGTGTGACAGATGATTTCTTAAACACACTGGATCTGTCCTAAAATACTATCTTTGGGACATAGGCCTTAAGACTACCTTCTAAGTGAAGGAGGTCTTTGGGATACTTAAGAATATAAGCTGTCTTGGATAAAGTCTGAGATGAACTATCCTGATTTCAAAATCCACTTACAGAGTACTGTCTAAAGGTTAGCTTTGAGTGTATTGACTTTGTCATAATCTTATCGTACATTAATATTTAAGTTTCTGTGGAAGGATTGTGGAGAAATCTAGAGAAAGTGTGCAACATGGTAAAGAGAATTGTAGGAAGAGAAATGGCAGCCCTGCTCAAACAGTGAGAATAATAAAATGGTCATCAGGAGGTTTCCAGAGACAGTTGGCAAGGTTCAAATCCAAGCTCTACCAGGTAATAACTATGTAAGGTTTTACTGTACAATGGAGATAATATATAGTACATTTACCTCATAGTGTTGTTGTAAGGATTATAGAAATACAGGTAATGTGTATGGCATGTAGTAAGCAGTCAATAAATGTTTGCTATTATCATTATAGCTGAAAACTTAAGCTACTTACCTCTACCTGTAGAGACGGTGAGTGATGAGCTAAAAATATGGCCTAGATAGTTATGTTTGAGGTTTCTTTTATAATCTTAATCCGTCTGGCTGGCCTCATACTAATTTTCCTTGTTATACTACCTATAACGTAACCTCCACCCCCCAGTTGTCTAGCCTATATACCCTTTCAGAATTCTCTTACCCTAATGTTCATCTGGGTTTCTTGTTCACTCCTCCAAACTCTTACGCTTCCCCTTGTTGTAAAATCCAACTGTACCCTCCAGAATTCCCAACCCATGAGGCACAAACTCTTCTCCACCCTCCACCCTTTTAAATACTATGATCTAGTTTAATCACAAACTGGCTTTTTGTCCAGGACATTACTTCCTTTTTCAGGAGGAAGCTGCTCATTTGCCTCACTCTTTAGTGCGATTTCCAGACTATTTCCCTTTAACTTTCTTCGCCCGCAGTCACCTCAGAGATCTCACTGACACTATTAGAACAGTGTTGGGAATGATAATAATTGATATTGGTAGGGTTAAATGGGGACAATGCATGTAAAATGTCTGGCATAGTGCTAAGAACATATAATTCCCAGTAAATTTTAGTTTTTGCTATTATATTTACCTTCTAAGTGAAGGAGGTCTTTGGGGGTTACTTAGAATGTAAACTCTCTTGGAAGTCTGAGATGAACTGTGATATCCAAAATAACTACACCTAAGAAATTATGAATTGAGCCCATTCCTGACTATTATCTCCTATCTGTTCTAGTCCACTGACCTTCCTGCTGTTTCCCAGTTCTATCCCTGCACACATGTTCTCTCTTCCCTCTCTAAGCTGGAGCACAGTTTAGATTCTATTTTTCCATGAGTCATTTTTTGGTCAATATTCTAGACTCCCTTGCTTTGTTGTCTTTTGACACATTCTCAAACCTAGATGTGCCCAACTGCTCATCTTGTCTTCACCTGCACCCAGGCTGCTTAGTGCTGCTGGGGAATATCATACTACTGAGTAGGCTTACATTACTGTAAATTCATTGTCACCAGCTTCACCTGGATTCCTAGTATTTCATGTCAATTTCTTGTCAATCTCCACTATGTTTTATTAGTCAGCTCTATATTCCATTCTCCACTGTGCTTATTTCAAACCTTTTTCAATCTCTTCAAAGCACACATTCTCTACTGGTATGTTTATGGCAGCACTATTCACAATAATAAAGCTATGGAATTAACCTAAGTGTCCATCAACAGAGGATTAGATAAAGAAAATATGGTATATATACACACTGGAATACTATTCAGCTTTAAGAAAAAGAATGAAATCATGTCTTTTGCAGCAACATGAATGAACCTGGAGGCCATTAGCTTAAGTGAAACAACTCAGACACAGAAAGACAAATACCACACGTTTTCACTAATAAGTGGGAGCTAAAAAAATGTGTCCACATGGATGTAGCATGTGGAATGATGGACAGTGGAGACTCAGAGGGTGGGGACTGAGGGGGTGGGAGGCAGGGTGGAGGATCGGGGGCTACTTGGTGGATACAGTGTGTGTTGTTCCAGTGATGCACTCAAGGCCCTGACGTCACCACAACGCAATATATCCGTGTAGCAAAATTGCACTTGTACCCCAGGAATATATACAAATAAATACATAAGCTCCTCTTTATGTTGTTATTATTTCTTTATTCTTTTTTAAGTTGACATAAAATTGTATATATTTATCATATACAACATGTTTTGGAATATGTATATATTGTGTAATGGCTTAAACTAATTAACATATGCCTTATTTCACACAATAAAAATTCCTCTTTTCTCAAGTACATATACCCTTACAATAGAAATGAGTGTGTCATTTGTTCATTGACTAAATATATATTGAGCACCTTCTGGTTGTCGTTACAGATTCTAGGGATACAATGGTGAACAGGCGAATGGAATGGTGAAGCCAAGTCCTGGAGATGACTGGTGTCAGTCCCCAGTTGTACTAAACCTGTTTTCATGGAGTTTACACAAGAAGTGGCGACAAAAGACAGACAATAACCAAGTGGTCAGTAAACCAATACAATAATTTCAGACAGTAGTAAGAGGATAAGATAAGACAGTAATAGCGGTGTGATAAGGCAGAGGCTGGACGCTGAGGTGGAGACTAATTTTGACGGTTATAGGGAAAGCCTCATTTTATCCAATACAGTGAAGTTAGTTTCACTGTTAAAAAGATACATTTTACATTAAAGAGAGTATATGCATATTTATTTACTTCATCGATTTTCAAAATAGCCTTTCTCATTATACAGATGACAACCGAGGCTCAGGGAATTAAGGAAATTGCCCAGGGCTACACACAGCTACTAAATGACAGAGCTGGGATTCAAACGTTGGTCCAATTAACCCAAAGCCTGTGCTGTCTCCACTATACCATACTGCCACTCACCAAGACAGGCTCTTGAGAAAAAGGGCTTGTGTTACTGTTAGGTTTGAACAATCTTTTTTAGTATGTTTGAGGCCTTTTAGAACCTGTTTTCTACATCAAAAATAGTAATACACAATATTTATGTGATGTTTTTCCAGGCACTTTTGTTATCATTATCTCACTATCACATAACCACTCAGTAAGATACAGAGCACTCACAGACCTTTGAGACCACTTTTATAACTGAAATGTAAAAGTTGAATGATTTTCCATGATTACATAGCTGTGGAATGGTGGATATAAACTAGATTCGGATTGCTTGACTTTTAATCTTTTTTTTTTTTCTCCAATATGCCTATACAAAATGTTCGTTTCCTTTTAAAGTACTAAGTTTAAGGGTTTAAATCCAAATAAAACCTGAGAATTAATTTTCATTTCTGATGCAGAATACCAAGGATTTCTCCATTAGTCCTGGTAACTTTATTGCGAAGAAATGATAAAGAGAATAAAAGGGAGTAAGATAAACACTGTACAAGTATAACATTAAATTACCCTTTCTTTTTCTAATGTTATACAAATGAAAAAAAGGATACCCAACTGCAAAGTCCCTGAGATGCTATTTAAATTCAAGTACTTCTGAAATACAAATATGTGATAACTTATTTGCAGCTTAGGAAAAAAAGCCGTTTTTGTTTGTCACGTTGTTGTTGATGATGTCTATGTGTTGTTTGATAATTACTAAGAAAGTATACTCTGGTTTCTCTGCAGACCATATAAATATTTTGCCTTTTTATAATTATTAAGGAAGTAATAATGAAAATGGAAAAAGAGCCTTTTTGATGTTATTCTGTCATTGCATTGTCAAAAGAAAATATATTCCCCTCTTTTCCAAAAGTCAGCTGGGTTTTATCAGCTTTGCAAAATGGTGAATGAATGCCTTGTTCGTTATTATTGCTTAAGTCATTCTTATTTATGCCAGTGATTCACGGATTATGTTTTGATTGTTCTTGAGAGATGAAAACACTTTCTTGCTGATGAATAAACACTGCCACTTTTAAAATATTTGTATGCAAAATGTCTTTAAAGCCATTATGAAATGCTTTGCAAGAGTATTAGGAAGCTGTTTTTCGAAAGGCATTTTTTTCTCCACCTTTTCTTTCATGCTAAGCAGCCAGATTGAAAGGCTTTTCAGAGTTAACTTGTTTAAGCAATACCAGTGTTTTAGTGTAATGAATAACTTTTTATAGAGGACAATCGCACACAATTCCGCATGCCGATGTTTCTGTTTCTGTGCCCCACCGATGCAGGGGTTCTGTGGTAGAATCTCTTTCTTTGAGAAAAGCTGAAGCGATGAAAGCCCTGATTAACCTCTGATATTCACGTGGTGCTCTTGATCTTGAGGACTGCAGTAGTCACAAAGCTTTAATGGCAGCCATATGCTTAGGGTATTGTGGATATGGGTGACCCAAATGTGAACTTGGGGGGTGACTGATGCTAACTGCTATTTGTTTCAGGTTTGGTGTGGAGATTACTGATGAAGAGTTTGACTTACTACTTGACAGAATCCCCTTGATGAAGATGGAAATGTCAGAGACCCCCAGTTCATGGCCATGTTGGATTCTTAGCACTCCTTTTCCACATTTTCTCATGTCTTTGTAATTTTTTTATTCTTGTTTTTAATACAGAGAATGTACCCCTAAAAGTACTAGGATTATTTAAGTTTTCTCTTTATTGCCTAGTATCTTACTTATTAATATTTTCTAAGTGACGAAGGATTTTTGAAAAAACATTGTTAACAAAAAGGTAGAATTTTTACATGATGAACCACGGCAATGCATTTGAAACTATTTAATGTCTTAGAACCTGAATAGTGGACCTGGGAGGATAATGTGTGACTGAGATGACAAACGAGGCATGTGAACTGTGTTTGCAGAGTTGGAAAGAAAATTGCAGTAAGTGACAAAAGTCAAGTCCTGGAGATGACCGGTATTTAGTCCCCAGTTGCACTAAACATTCCCCCACACACTGACCTTTTACCCCCCACTCGCCTCCCAAGGGACTCCCATTAGGAGACATCCTTCTGCTTTCTTCCCAGAGGAGTCTGCCTGGACAGTAGAGTACACACCCATTGCCAATGGTTGTGTTAAAGGCAGAGCAAGAATGCTTTCTGAAATACTCTCAATCTGTATTTTTCTATCTGGGAACCCAAATTTTTACTCTTTTCTAAAATCTTTTCATGGATTTTATAGGGTAGTTCAAGGCTTAAGCATTTAAAATTCTGATCAGTATTGACCATTTTATTCCTCGAGTACTTTAAGGCATGTTGCAGTCCCAGGCATCTGATGAGTTGGGCTGAAGCCATTGAAAGATGAGCTGCTTCTTCCTAAAGATACTTTTTTTCCCAGAGCAGTTTCAGAATATAACTGTCTTCATCCCATATGCCTCCTGGACCATCCTCCAAATCTCATGATTATCTCTTTAGCCACGAAACCCACCCATGTTTTCTTTTAGTTCTTGATAGCAGGGTGGAAGTTAGCAACCTGGTTTGGCCTAAAGGGCATGAGAAGAGCATGCTGCAAGTCAGAGAATGTCCTCAGACAGAGTCGCAGGTGCTGGCAGTAGGAAGCCCTTGAAGTGAAAAAGAACCAGGAGTGCTGAGGAGGTACCAGTAGGCCTTACCTAAAGGTGAGCATCTCCTACTGTGCAGTTATTCCGTAGCATTTCCCAAGCTTACTTGATCTTCTCTCATGGAGCATCTTAGAGGCTAGCCTTCCACAGAGCATGGGAATGCTACCTTAGTCGAATAAGTTATTCATCTAAGTATTAGCCTTCATTTTAGGAGGTCAAGATCAGGTGCCTGAGAGAATGAAATGAAGCAGGGGCGGGGGGTGTTTGCTTTGTTTGGTTTTGTTTATTTGTTTGTTTTTTGAGACAGAGTCTTGCTCTGTCGCCCAGGCTGGACTACAGTGGCACGATCTCGGCTTACTGTAACCTGTGCCTTCCAGGTTCAAGCGATTCTCCTGCCTTAGCCTCCCGAGTAGCTGGGATTACAGGCACGAGCCACGACGCCCAGGTAAGTTTTTTATGTTTTTAGTAGAGACGGAATTTCACCGTATTGCCCAGTCTGGTCTTGAACTCTTGACCTCGGGTGATCTGCCTACCTCGGCCTCCTAAAGTGCTGGGATTACAGGCATGGGCCATCTGATTTCAAAGTCTACAAGAGTTTCCACTATTTCACATTGCATTTCTGAATTATACAACAACAGAAATAATTGTTCCCCTTAATAAGCGTTTATTATGTGCCCCATGCCCTGCTAAGAGCTTGACATGCGTTATTTAATTTAACGGTAAAGACCATTTTCCTCAATTCCACTTGAGTTCACTGATGGATGGCTCACTGTCCATCTCATCTGCCAGAGAGGAGGGTGGTACTCATTGCTTGGTGGTGTGGTGTAATGGCCCCTGAACTGGGTGTTCGGAGACTTGGATGACAAGAGTTATAGCTTGGCTTTTCATTTCATAATGACACGCCCTTCATCAAATCCTTAATATCCCCTTGCTCAGGTTTTCTCATCTGTAAAATGAAAAGTTTAGCTCAAAAGATCTCCAAGGTTCTCTCTAAGTGTAAAATTCTGCTTGAAGCAGTTTATATTCTCATCAATATTAATGGAGATTTGAGGCAGCCACTTAGTATGACTTAAGAAGATGCTGTAACACAAGCATGTGTCTTCCTGGTAAATAAGAAGAATTAACAAGCAATAACATTAAAGTAATAAATTCATTTTTAGAGTCTACTTTATAATCATCAAATTAAAATCAATACAATAAACATTTATGAGTACTTGTGTTTACAGTCAAGCATTCCTGAATTGTGAAAATAAATGTTTCTTTTAGAGAATTTTTTTGTAATTTTGTCACAAAATCTGCATATATGATCGAGAACTTCATTTCTTATATATATAAATGGAAATGGAAAAGAAACATAACTGTCAAGTTGAGGAGAAAGAAGAACTATAGAAAAGAGTATATAGAATGGTTAACAGTTCCAGGAGTATTAACAATATAAAAATCCATATCACTTTCGACTATTTTTATTTTACTTCTTTGTAAGTCCTACCTTTAGTGCCCCAGTTTTTAAGGATACACATAAATACTAACACTTTTTTAAAAACTGAATTAAACTCAGGAGGCTGAGGCAGGAGGATGACTTGAGCCCCGCAGTTTGAGGCTGCGGTGAGCTGTGACTGCGCTACTGCACTCCGGCCGGAGTGACCACATGAGACCCTGTCTCTAAAACAAAGAAACAAAAAACTGAATGAAAATTAATGTTTTGACCGTAATAAGATGTTTGAAAAAATTGTAGCAAAAGATGACAAAGTCCATTAAGAACAAATGGTAGACTTTGTGACATGCTCACACTAGTTTCATCACCAAGAAACCAATGGAATTATTTCGCTGGGTTTGTGACTTACCTCGTTCATTTGATAGGCAGCTGTCCCACCAGGAATACCACGTCCAAGAGCAGGATTCTCCTTCCACAGTGTGCGTGTGGACTGGAGAAGCAGCCTTTGGAAGATGGGGCTACCCAGACTTTATAGAGCCCGCTTTAATTCCTTGGAGGTCTGCAATCTCCAGGTTGTCAGTCATCCAGGACCGCGGCTGTTGGTGAGACAGAGTGCTTCCTTCTGGGTGAAGAACTCTGTATTGCTTTCCGAGGGCTACCATCATGGGGCATCACAAACTGGGTGGCTTAAAATGACAGGAATGTATTCTCTCACAGTTCCAGAGGCTGGAAGTTCAAAATCAAGGTGTGAGCTGGGGCACGCTCCCTCTGAGACTCAGGAGAATCCTTCCCTGCCCTTTCCTTACTTCTCAGGGTGACTGGTAATCCCTGTGAGCCTTGTTCTGTGGCTGTGCCACTCTCATCTTTGCCTCTGCTGTCATATGGCACACCGCGTTTCTCTGTCTCTGTATCTGAATTTCCTTGCTCTCATAAAGACACCAGTCTTCTCAGATTGAGGGCTCAACCTACTCCAGTATGACTGTGTCTTAACTAGTAACATCTCCAACTACCCTATTTTCAAATGAAGGCATATTCTGAGGTGCTGGGGATAAGGACTTTGACGTATCATTTGGGGACACAATTTAACACACAACAAACCCTGTTATAGATCTAGCATGTCTAGTTTCTTACAAATTTTCATTGGGGGGAGGGTACAAATAATAATTAGCTCTTGTGCACTCTTGTGCATTCTCTGACAACAGCAGTACCAATAGCTAACATGTAATGCCTACTACTTGTCAGGCACTAAATACTAACTCATTTCATTCTTACGACAGTCCTGCTTCACATATGAGAAAGCTGGGACACAGAAAGCAACTTGCCTATTGTCCTCCAGTTAGCAGTGGTGGAGCCAGGGTGCAAATCCAGACTGCACCTGCCCGGAGCCCACATACTCAATACCACCCTGCCTTCTGGACAGTCAGGACAAGCAGTTGTGCCTCTGCTAACCATTATTGTGCCAACAAGTAAGGTTACACTTGAAATGTGGCTTGCAATGCAAGGTTTAGGTTTTATAGGCAACTCACTTATGTTTTCTGGTTACTTTTTATTTTTTTAAGTCTGCATTCAATTTAGACTTAGTATTAAAAAAAGAATATTAAAATCTCTCAATGATTTTTATATTGATTACATATTGAAATGATTATATTTTAGATATATTGGGCCATATAAAATATATCATTAAAATTAATTCCACTTAAAAGCATCTTTTTTAGTGTGCTATTAGCAAATTTAAAATTGTGAATGTAGTTTTTAGTGTATTCCTATGGGACAGCCTTGAATTAGACAGCAAATTTTTTAAATTAGAGTAGGCAGCATGATGGAAGAAAGAAATTGATTCAGTCTTTTGTCCCAAGTGAATCAGTTCCTAAGGTCTCTGTGCCTTTGTTTCTCTATCTATACAATGTGATAGAAAACTTGAATTTTCCTCACAAGTTTAATTTAACTAATAAATTGAAGACAGTCGATTATGAATCATTTTGCCTAATGTTTGCAGGAAGCTAGACAATTACCCAGCGAAGCCAGAATATGATAATAAAATAGCTCATCCAGATTAAATATGAATTTTAAGTGTTTATTACTTTCTTTAAGCAAATAGTTGTGTATCTTTGAACTACATAGAATCCAGAACAAATTTTTTTTTTTTTTTTTTTTTGAGACAAGAGTCTCGCTGTGTTCCCCAGGCTGGAGTGCAGTGGTGTGATCTCGGCTCACTGCAACCTCTGCATCCTGGGTTCAAGTTATTCTCCTGCCTCAGCCTCCCGAGTAGCTGGGACTACAGGCGTGCACCACCACGCCTGGCTAATTTTTGTATTATCTAGGCTGGTCTGAAACTGCTGACCTCAGGTGATTTGCCTGCCTTGGCCTCCGAAAGTGCTGGGATTACAGGTGTGAGCCACTGTGCTTGGCCAGAACAAAACATTTCCGTGGCGAGGCCTGGCTTGCTTGGCTCTAAAGCCAATACTTTTCTCATTATACATTCCAGGTAATGAAAATTATGATAAAAATACAAAAAATTAGGTGGGTGTGGTGGCAGGCACCTGTAGTCCCAGCTACTCAGGAGATGGAGGCAGGAGAATGGCGGGAACCCGGGAGGCGGAGCTTGCAGTGAGCCGAGATTGCACCACTGCACTCCAGCCTGGGCGACAGAGCGAGACTCCATCAAAAAAGAAAAGAAAAGAAAAGAAAATTATACTTCATAATTTTTAGGTGAGGTGATGATCAGCTGTGCTTCCCCTCAGCAGTGGAAGATGTATGTAGATAAATGAGGTGAGGTTAAAGCTTCCATGCTTTTATTTGACATGATATATTAATTTGTGTAGCCAATTTTTACATAAACCACAATCTCAAAACTTTTACTCTGTACTTTGCTGGGACTGTGAAGTTGCCACAGTGGCACTTTCATATGAATAAATTCAGAAAATAAAACCACTTAGAGACAATAAGATATTCAGACGTTTCAAGCATTTCGTGTGTTTTTGTCACTTATTCTTATTATCTTTTTTTTTTGAGACGGAGCCTCGCTCTGTGGCCCAGGCTGGAGTGCAGTGGCGCGATCCCCGCTCACTGCAAGCTCCGCCCCCCGGGTTCCCGCCATTCTCCTGCCTCAGCCTCCCGAGTAGCTGGGACTACAGGCGCCGCCACTGCGCCCGGCTAGTTTTTTGTATTTTTAGTAGAGACGGGGTTTCACCGTGTTAGCCAGGATGGTCTTGATCTCCTGACCTGTGATCTGCCCGCCTCGGCCTCCCAAAGTGCTGGGATTACAGGCGTGAGCCACTGCGCCGGCTTTATTATCTTTTAAGTTAGAAAAGCAATAAAGGATTATCGTAAATATCCAAATATAAAGTGTATGTAAGATGAAGAGGGAAAGTTTCTGCACTTACCGTCTTTGCCCAAATCCAGCCTTCAAACAGAAACCAGTTAATTATTAATTTTAACATAGAAGTTAGTACATTAGTTTCGTGGCTCTAAAATATTTGATAAATTATCCCAGTGTTCAATATGAACCTGTTTATGGCTGTGGCCTCTACTAATGTTATATGTATACAATTATTGTTTGTTCTTTATAGTCATATTGGATAAAATGTATACATCTCACATTCATTAAAGATGGCAGTTCAAGGGCCGGGCGCGGTGGCTCAAGCCTGTAATCCCAGCACTTTGGGAGGCCGAGACGGGCGGATCACGAGGTCAGGAGATCGAGACCATCCTGGCTAATACGGTGAAACCCCGTCTCTACTAAAAATACAAGAAAATTAGCCGGGGGTGGTGGCGGCGCCTGTAGTCCCAGCTACTCGGGAGGCTGAGGCAGGAGAATGGCGGGAACCCGGGGGGCGGAGCTTGCAGTGAGCCGAGATGGCGCCACTGCACTCCAGCCTGGAAAACAGAGCGAGACTCCGTCTCAAAAAAAAAAAAAAAAAGATGGCAGTTCTGCTAAAAATATGTGTATTTTCCAACAGTTTTTTGTTGTTGTTGTTGTTTTTTTAGCAAAGAATAATGAAAAGCTGATT